AGATTTCAATTTCTCTCTCCCTTCCTTGAATCTTTGCATTTAGTATGATTGATACAGGGTAGAAAGGGGTTAACTGGTAGGTAGTTACAATTTTCAGCCTATTACATATGCTTGCTTAATGCTATAAAATTGGTCCCAAGCACTTCTCTTAGCTATTTATAAAATTTAGAATATGTAACAAATCATGTCTTATTTTGTAGTTCATAAGACTACCTTGCTAAAATTGAGGAGCATGGGGCAGAGACAATAGAATTTTGATAAACTTTAATAATATCATATAATGACATAGTCAGGAAGAATATATAATGCTGAGAGCAATAGATTAGTGTCCTTTGATTTACCTGAAACCTTTATTTATTGACTTGATGGGATTCTACCTGAGAAGTTTGAGAATAGCAAAGTCTGTAGATCTTTTGGGGAATTATAATATCTTTTATAGAAAAATAATTATTTAATATTAATGTCATTTGTTTTAATAGTTTTTTATCTTCAGTTAGTACATTTATTGATAAGATTATTATAGGTAAAAGTGTATACAGCATGTTTTGTGACACATCTTTATTACTGACCTGGTGATATCATGGACATGTAGCCCGCTCAGGAAGAACACAGGGAAGATCCAGATTTTGAAACTAAGGAAGAAGTACTTGAAGAGTGCTCCAAAGTAGAGGAAAAAGAAGACAGTCCTGAATCAAAAGCAGAAAGAGAATTAAAAGCTTCCCAGAAATCAATCAGAAGACACAGAAACATGCACTGCAAGGTTTCTTTGTTGGATGACACAGTCTATGAATGTGTTGTGGAGGTGAGTGGATTTTAATTTCCAATAGTCAGAACTCTTACAAATTGTTTCACGTAGAGTTGGGTACGTGGTGACTTCACCAAAGATAAGACCCACTGTAATACTGTTTCTGTGGACTGAAATGTTAATGGTGATTCTTCTGGAGGTGGGGGTGTGGAAGGATTAGGAGTGAGTCTTATTTCTTCTCCAGTTTTTTTCTGTATCTGTCAAAATCTTTTGATTTGAG